TGAGAACCCCAGGTCACGCCTTATGTCCAGTGCCAAGGTCAATATTGCTGTTAGATCCTGAGCACTGAATTGAGGGGGAGGAGAGGAGATTAACTAATTGTCAGTTTGTTTATGCTTAAACAGGCTTCTTTTCCTCTGCCAGGTCAGAGTGCTGGTTTGAAAGAAGTTGGTACAGTTCCCTTTACATAATAACATGAACAATACTGGAGCAAGATTATATCTGTCACTGAAGAAATCCTATAGTGATGCCTGTCCTCAAAATCCATTAATTGTTTATGGGCTCAAAGCCCTCCAGGTCGTGTCAGAAATCCACATAATATTCTGCAGTTTGCATTTGGATCTCTAATTTGGAGAACACATGTGAGAAAACACCCATAACAAGGTAATTGTCTCTTGCATGCACATCTGCAGCTGTTGAAGAGTGTAGATTATTCCAGCTAAAGTTTGCATTAGATTAAGCTGATTTTTTCCTCCAGAGATACCTTTTTTTCAGACAGCACATTACAACGTTTTGTCTTGTTTTAGTAAGAGCACCCACGTTTGTTACACGCCTTCCTTCTGGCCCACTAGTGGCAGGTCAGTACGGATGTTACATACAGATATACAACCTGCGTCATGCAAGCCTCTGTCTTCTATAGGTCAGTGTCAAGAAGCAGCTTCTCCATTGACCTGTAAAAGGCAAGATTTCAGACAAGCATTTCAGTGTGAATGTAAATGTTATTTCCAGTCAGCTTTTGTGTGGGATTCTGCTCACATCATTAATAAGAAAAACTCCTAGAAACTATAATTTGAGAAAAATTGTCCTCTAGTTTTTTAGTGACTTCCCAATCGTTTCTGTCACTGACACTTGATTGGCTATAAATCCTCTGAAGCATGGGAAGCAGGAGGTCATGGAAGTGGTTGTTGCCAACTAACTAAAGAATAACTAGGATTGTTTTTATTTTTAAACCACATTCTTTAAATATGACAGTGTAAACATGCTGCCTTCTGAAAAGTAGAATAAATGACATGAATACTGCACTGGGGAACTTCACAAATCCAGTTTCAGTGATGGCAGCACTGTATAGGCAGTTCTGAGTGGCTAGCCAAGGTGAAAGCACAAATACCAGGTTAGATCGCAATATTTTTGTTACTAAGTCAATTCATTTTATTTCAAACTTTTCCTTTATTTACATTACCAAAAGATTACAGATTTGCATCGATACTACGTTTTCATTTCCATAGATGTTCTTAGTCTGCCACTTCTCCTGGGCAGTAGGCATCACCCTACCAAACACCTGCTTCTCTATTATGTATCACACTGGAGAGTGGGTCATGAGAAAAGTGGCAGGGCCATGAGAACAGGGATGCAGAGCCTTAGCAGTTTGGAGTGTCACAGTTTGTAGCTATCTCTGCTAAGTATGGAATTCTATATGGTTAACTACAGTGTCAGGATCCAGGTGCATAAATTCCCTCTGGGAATTTTCTGATGATAAGGCAGAGACATCAACATGTAGCATAGTTCCTTGGCCATGTTTCTGTAGTAAAGGATGAAGCAATATTCTAATCTCAGTGGTGGGAGCACAGACAGTCAATCTCCGAGGCAAGAGGCTGGGTGTAATAAATCAATACCCTCATTAAAAATACGCATAACCACACTGTCTAGCTGAATATTTTACTAGTGGAAATTTTAATCAAAGTCCAGATTTATAATAATGATGATGGTTATTTTATCAGCAACTATAGGCCCCCTAGATTGAGCTTTGTTGGGACTGATCTCATCCTTGGCAAGAATTTGTTTTAAGGAGTAACAGAAAAAACGGCAAGTGGGCTGATTGTGGAAAGAATGCCAGCTCCCCAGATTCCTACTGCAATCCGAAGAAAGCCCGTGTCAGAGTTCCACAGCTCTTTGAAGAGACTCCAGGTCTTACACGTGTTTCAGATTATCAACTACACTCTTGAGACAATGTTTGAGCTGCAGTTTTGTTATGTCAATGGTAAAATAATGGCAGAGTCGTCATAAACCATGAAAAGCTAAGACATACAGAGATTTTATTCTTTGCTAACTGCATGGCTCTCAGGTAAGGCAGAAGATCTGGCTAGAACACATAATAGGTAACATCATTCATTGCTCTGAGGCCCCCCTGCTTTAAAGGTTGCAACCAAAAAGCATACATAGGATTTAGCTCCGACTCTGGATATTTCTCTGCTTCAGTTGATCTGCAGGTGGCATTTCATTCCATTACTCCCCAGCTGATCTGCAGGAGGCTGGGTGGCAGATTTATGTTACCAATTTGCCTGGGGCTTCAGGTGATCAGGCTGAGGCCGCAGGATTGTTAGGGGAGGAGATGAAGGAGCACACCAAGTCACTAAGTTTAAAGCTTTGTTAACCAAATAACAGCGGTGAGTGCTGGGCATGCCCCACATTACTCAGAGGGAGGAAGAAAGTGTTAGTGCCCGAGCCCTAACCCACTTTCATACTTACACACGCACAACCCAAGGCTGGCCAAACCTGGGTGTAACGTAAGAAGAAGAGGGGGGGAAGGGTAGACGAGAGTTCTGTCCTGTGCCCAGATCGTCTAGGGTCCACTGTAAATCTCCGACTTGCTTGAGCTCTCGGGAGGGTTTTAAGCCCTGGATTCTTCCGGAGGCGTTTTCGTCCAGGGACCCTTGTCCCCTGTGCTCTCGGTACCAGTCTGAACTGGCCTTCCGCGGCTCCCTTAGTTTACCCAAAACACACCAGTTTCAGGGTCGCGAGACTGTTGTTTTTCAATTCACTGACCTTTGCAGTCTTACTAGTTTTGCAACCCCTTCAGTTCTGTCTGGCTCAGTTTTTTTTTCTTACGGCTGGCCGGGGTTGAGATACAGGCTTCTGGCTGTTCGGCAGCAGAGAGCTTGTTTGTGTGCGCTGGCGTTGGGCTGCAGTTTTGTTCCTTATTTTCGGGCCTAGCTGGATCATTGAGTTAACCCATTCCTTTCTCCCTTCCTCCCCCTTTGGCTTCTTCTAACCTGCAAAGGAGTTTTCCACTCCACACTCACACCTTTAACCCTTCCCATGATACTTTTCAATGCATATAAAGGTGTTAGCAATATACAATGCGGGTGTTGACCCAGGGGACCCCATGTGGGGGGGCATTTTATTGTGACAGCTGCCACTGTTAAGAGCACCCATTCCCAGCGTAGCTGGGGGCTGCACCATTATCCATCACACCAGGAATGTGCCTATTTCACATACATCCCTCCCCAGAGCAAGAATTAATGATTTTGGAGGCTTTGAACGGGTCAGAGTGAGAGCCATATGATTCTGCCCTCCCCTAGCCTTCCACCTAGCAGCTGCACATGCAAACTTTGCATCTACCTTGCTGTTGAGAGCAAAAACCATTAATCTGGTGCCTCTGTTCTGCACTATAACCAGCCACTAGAGGGGACTGGAGAGCAGCTTGCTGCTGTTCTTCTCAAGCCTGAAAACACTCCTGCTTGAACGTGATAAACTAGCCCAAGGGTGGCTCAGACTGATAGGTCAGGATACATAGTACATCCCAATAGGCAGTCAGAATTTGTGGTATATGCCTCCTGATGCCAGCCCAACTGGCATTATTTTAACACAAAGCATATTTTGTCTAGTTTAGGTTGTTTCCTGCTTAGGGAAAAGACAGTGAGACTGGATGGGTTTGGGGCTGGTTTCAGACAATGTGCGGCCGTCAATGCAAAGATCAATGTCTCTGCAAGTGAAGAATTGCGTGAAGAGTGAAAAGCTGTCCCTCTTTGCTGTTTGTACAGGCCAGGTGACAACGAGGGAGATTTTTTAGAGAAAATAACAGTATTTGTGAGGAGGAGAAGGTGTATGTTGGGAGATGGGTTCATCCTCTATGGGAGATGGGTTCATCCTCTAGGGCTTGGGAGACACCACACTAAAAGTCCTTGGAATTTACTTGCTTTGAAACAGTTTATTGGCGGGAGAGCTGCTGCTTTTCCAAAGGAAACAATGGGAAGGTTTGTAGATTTTGTTCAGATTGCAGTGGCTGGAACACACATTACAGGCCTCAGGCTGGCAGCTACACCAGGTCTATAAACCGTAGTGCTCTCAAGAGAGTGTGAGCAGAGAAACCATAAATGGAAGGGTTGTTTTTGGACCATTCTTACTGAAATATGGCCAAAAGATCTTTTTCTAGCTGCCTTAAAACATTTGCTCCCACATTAAGGCACTGTCGCCAAGATCTAGCTTTAAGTGAATGCCTATAGTTAAGTTATACACCCGTGGAAATAGAGATTTCTGATTAAAAACATCATTAGCCCCATCAGTCTAGTACAACTCATAAATGATACCATTATCAGACAAAAATCTGCATCTTGGGTGAAGTCATAGTCTTCTTTTCTCTAACATAACTTAGAGCTGGTTATTTTCATAATTGAAATATTTGGCAATTTTTTCAGGCACACTGAGAATTTTACTCTGAAATATCCATAGTGGTATAAAACTACTGTACATTGCACCAACAATTCATAGGATCCTAATGACTGACTAGAAGAATGGGGATAAAACCAGCAATATTTCTGTGTTTTTTTCTTCACACTTTCATGAGTTGGAGAAGGGCATAACATTCGGGGGGAGGGATAGCTCAGTGGTTTGAGCATTGCCCTGCTAAACCCAGGGTTGTGCGATCAATCTTTGAGGGGGCCATTTAGGGATCGGGGGCAAAAATCTGTCTGGGGATTGGTTCTGCTTTGAGCAGGGGGTTGGACTAGATGACCTCCTGAGGTCCCTTCCAACCCTGATATTCTATGAAGCCACAGATTTTTCACACCAAAAGGGCAGGTTTTGCCTGTGAAAATTGGCTTTTTGTGAAAAAGAGGGGGGAGGGGGAGATGAAAAGTGCAAAATGTTTGTTTTTCACAGAACTGGTGAAAACAGCACTCTAATGGCCAAACTCTGTGGCTGACAAGGCTGAGATGAACATTTCCCCAAAAAATTGTTACGTCATTAAATTAAGTGCACAACACACAAGGAGTTTCCAAAAGAGTTTAATAAATAGCGAGGTTCTTTCTTTACTGTATAAACTATAAATATACCATGCAGTCCTTATAATTTAAAATAATTTACAGGCTGAGGTAGGGGGGATGGGAGGATGTGGGCATGAGTGTTTGTTCCATCTCAAGGTCTCACTGTTTTCCGGCTGAGCACGCACACACATGCAGTATCGATTCGGATAAATCTCCAGGCTGCTTGCTTGCCTTCCATTGTCAGTGCTTTGACAAAGGTGTGCGTGGTGGTGCAGTAGGAATTCCAGTGCTTAGCATCAATTCCCCGACACCCACTGGAGACTGGCTTAGGGTCCCTGCATTTGGTTTCGAAAAAGTACTGCTTGAAAACATTGTTGTTAATGTTCACCTCTCCCAGCACTGTCACCTCTTTGCCTTTGATGTCAGTAGCTGTGGTTTTGTCCCCAACCCACATGCTGACACTGTCACAAACTGAGAATTCTCCCCGGTGCAGCACAGGATGAGCAGTCCGCTTGGTTCGAATAGTCCTGTTAAGAGAATCTGCACTGCCCAAATACTCCATGTTCTGTCCATCCCCCAACACTGGAGGGGGCTGCGTGCTGAACAGAACCCGAGGGGACCGGAATCGTCTCTTTCTGAAAAGCTTTGGATCCACAGTGATGTTTGCTGCCTGTCCAGCTTCTCTGCTGTCTACCTTCCCAGCAAGGTGATGATTGGCTGTGTGTTGAGCTGCCTTGGCAACGTGATTTGCTTTAGTCCGATGGATATTTGGAATGGTGGGTCCTGCAGGAAACCCCCATGGGGCATTGTCCTCTGACTTTGGTGCTGCCTGTATGCCGAGCAAAAAAGCTATAATCAGAGTGTAGTACAGCATGGACATTACGCTATGCACCTAGAATGAAACAAAAACTGAGGGTTACTACAAGTGACAGGGACGTGAACCGAAAGCACTTGTGCTACATGAAAAGTGCCCACTCTGACCTTGACGGGTATTTACTGATCTAATGCTGCTAATGACAATGCATTTGCTGGATATTTAGTACTGTAATGCTGATCCTACAGATCTCATCGGGTATTCATGTGAGTCCCAGATGTTCTTCCAGAAAAGCTCATTCAAACAGCACTAATGTGCTTAATAAAGTGGGAATCCAAGGAAATAATGGCTGGATTATAATTAATTCCTTTGGTATTTGTTATTAGAACATTATATATGAAGCACTTGTTTGGGGTTATTAATGTGGAGACCATAGGATAAGAAGGTGTTCTCTGGAGTACCTATCTCCATTGATATTTTTCTCAAGCTCTTTGACAATGGCTACTGCCACTCTGGGGCCATTTTGGCCACAGCACTGGGAGTTATGGGTAGAGAAACACCCTTCTGTTTTTTCGGACAGTCATGAGCAAGTTCAAGTTCCACAGACATCACTGAATAGAGAAACAAGGCCAGGGCTTGTCGCTCTGGAAACTGGAGAATATGCACATCTGTTTGGGTGTGGAAAAATGTAAAATCAATTTCTAAAAATTCTTCAAGAACAACGTTATGCCATAAGTCCAGTGACAGTGAAAGCTGCATTAGGCAACACAGACGTGTGTTAGGTAATGAATCAGTAGTGGGCATCCTATGAATAAGAGAGACATTTGAAACATAATCTGAAATTGCACTTAAGGGCAGACATTGAATTTCCCCTGCAAAGAGACAGGGTATAAACAGAACAAAAACTATCAAGCCAGACTCCTCCCCTGTCTCAGTGTCTCATTTTGCCTGACATGTTTCAGCTGGCCTTGGGTTTCACTGCATGTCCGGCAGGCACGCACTGACTGGACAAACATGATTTCACAGGGGAAAATTCAAACTCTGCAATTTAGCTCTAATTTCCCAGAATGTTTTAATATTTTTCTGGACATGGATCACTTATTACTAAAGCTCCCCCTCCCTTTCTGCTCAGCCTTCCCTAGCCTAAAATTGGGAGGATTACTAGAGTACTTGTTAAGTTTTTATGCTTTTGCTAAGACCAGGATCTCATGGAGAACTCAGGAGCCTATGAGGAAACTGCTATCTGAGATAAGAGCTGGATAGAACTAACCAGCTGAGTTTGTGCAGGACTGGATGATCTGATGGATTCAAGAAGCGAGCCGAAGATGCCAAATGGAAGGAGTTACTGAAGACGGTAATGATGCGAAAGTCCCTGCAATAAGGGGAGAGAGAGAGGCCAAGAGCCACTTTAGCAATTCTCAGTGCAGTGACCAAACTGGATTAAGTGGAGACTGAATGTTGGAGCGAGAGGCAGGTCTTGATGCAGTGAAAATCTTCACCATCCCAAACCTAACCTCATTTAGTAGGACCCGAGGCTGCCTTCTTCCCACATTCGGCTTGTGCTACACAGGCATCGTCTGTGTAAGGAAATAGAATTTGGAAGTGGGAGTAGCACTATAGCCATGTGAGTCTACGAGTAACCTCCAGTTCTCCAACTCAAATTAAAGTCAGATGGTTCACAACATCGCTAGAGTTTTCTTTTTTCAACAGAGATGTTATTGAAAAAGGTCTACAGAACAAAATCCAGACGTAGTTTAAACACCCCCACAGCAGCCTCAACCAAATGTATTTACATATAGACCCTTTGTTTATACTTTCCTTCTATAGGAAAGAGAGCTTAGTGATGCCAATAAAAGCCTGTTTTCTGCTTTTGTGTGATTCAGAATTCACTAAAATGCAGCAACACGTAAAGAATGATTTATCTCCCTTCCTCCTGCTCTTTTATTACACAGTTACTAACATCAGTGTAGTCTGTGCTTTAAACCTACTAACACAAAATTGAAACCATCTCCAATTTTTTTCTCCCCACCCCCCAACTTTACAATTGCATTGCTCCATATTTCTCTTCACTGTAGCAAATACTCTGGCAGCACGATGTGAGGTAGGACTAACCAGGACAAAACTATTTGTTTGGGATTTTTGGTAGTTATTTTTTAACCTTGAGAAAGCATTTTCAAAACTGGATCTCTCCATTTGTTTATGGGAAATGGAAGATGAAGGATTAAAGCAATGTGTACCTCAATCACAGTTAATTGTATGTGCAAAATAAATTTTAAGCCCAGGGAGACCTTGAGTGCGTGAAATATGGATTTGCTGGCTTACAGAAATGGCCATTCCGCAAGGTTTGTTTGTTTCTGTTCTTCCATTCACATGCTTAGTACATATTTGACTCTTAAGTGCTGCTCTTTGAAAATGTGTAAAGTGTATGCCAAGTGCATCTGAGCTTCAGAGAGGTTTTACAGAGCTGCAACCTTTAGGCATGAAATTCAGGGACCAGGGCCGGCTCCAGGCACCAGCATTCCAAGCAGGTGCTTGGGGAGGCAATCTGCAAGGGGCGGCAGTCCGCGTGTTTTTGCTGCTCCAAGCAGCACGCCGAATTGCCGCCGCGGACGGCGGGGGCAGTCTGTGTGCCGTTAGGGTGGCACACGCGTTTCCGCGGTGGCGGCAATTCGGCGGCAGCTTCTGTGTTCAGCTGCCCGCAGCGGCAATTCGGCGGCTTCTGTCTTCCGGCTGAACATAGAAGCTGCCGCCAAATTGCTGCCGCTGCGGAAACGCGTGTGCCGCCCTAACGGCACACAGACTGCCCCCGCCGTCTGCGGCGGCAATTCGGCGCGCTGCTTGGGGCGGCAAAAACAGTAGAGCCGGCCCTGTCAGGGACACCTCTTTGCAAATGTAGCCATGTGGGTCATCACAAACCTTTCAATTCTAAAAATGTAAATACTGCAATGGAGAGTACTTCATAACAGATGTGACTTCAGAATGGCTCAGCTTCCATGATAATACAGTAATTAGTAAACATTTCCCACAAATGATGTAATCTGCTAGAAGAAGAAGGAAAGACTCAATGAAATTAAAAGGCAACTAATCAAAAATGTTTAATGATCTGTTTAGTTCACCTGGGAGTTTGCTGCTACAGGATATTGTTGAGTAAAATCACTTACTAAGAGTCAGAACAAATTAGGTGCTTACAAAATAAGAATATTAAGTGCAAATAAACTGGCAAAAATAAAAATGATAGGGTCTGTTGATCTTCTAGCTTCAGAGTATAAACTGATCACTCTTTGGGCTAAGAAAAAATCTGCTCTTTCCACACCTTGTTGTACAGTTGATCGAGTGTATTATTATTTATTTATTCTTCTACTTCTCTGATGCAGCTGGTACAAGCCACTGCTGGAGACAGGAGGCTGGTGTAATTAGACTTGGTCTGTTTTGATATAGCAGTTACTATTGCGCTTACCTCTGGGTGTATTGAACGGAAAGCTGCTCCCAGGCAAGGTCTTTATTGCCTCCAGACTCTGAGCTGAAGTTGGATGCAGCATGCCATCAGGCCAGTCTGACTGCACAGCTAAGAATCTCTGAACAACCTAGTCTGGGTTCTGCTAGAGGAATGAAAGTATCTGTGTCAATAATAATTCAGAAAATACGCTTTTCAAATAACCTTTCCCCATTGTTAGAAGGAGCACAGGAGCAAGGCCTGGCAGGCAGGAAGCTCACTTGCAGGGCTCTTTGAATTATGATTTTTTTTGCTAATTTCATGGCATGGGAGTTGTCTGAAGCACAGCACTCTATGACTCTGCAGGCACTGGCCTTGAAGAACAGCAAAGCACGAAAGCACATGCTTAACTTTAAGCACACGAATGCCACTGAAATCAATGGAAAGTAAATTTTGGCCAGTTTAATTTATTCGGTGGCTGATTGTGCCAACCTCCCTCAGACTGCATCTGACCTTACTCTGCAAGTGGTCCATTCGGTTTCAATGTGGGTAAAGGTGGCAGAACTAGGCCCCGATAGTATGGGTGCACTCAGTGAGAGGATCATCCGCCTGGCGCCAAGGCATTAAAGAAACTTTAGCATTTTTTTTTAATCCAGTTATTTTTAAACTGAAATTTCACAGGCCAAATCCATGGAGTCAAACTATGCTTTTGGCTGCACCTGCACAAGCCCCCAGTTTTCATTAACAGGAGCTGCACATCAGGAAGTGAGGTTGTGGGATCTGGTTGATAGTGTGGCTCTTAAAAAATCAAAAGGCAAAGTTACTTCTTTTTAATAGTTTAATTGAAAATTTCCAAAGCACTTTTAGCACGGGGCTTGCACTAACTAAACCTGGGAGCAGCGAGGTTAGCATCATGGTCTGTTGGAGCCTTTTGATTTGACAGATCAAGGACCTCGCATCACTTTGATAAGATGAGGTGGCCAATGTCCAAATTCATTACTGCATGTAGATTATGGTCCACAGTCTACAGTATGGAGTTTGTTATAGAGAAAATTTCAGAATAAGGCAAATTACAATTCCATGAATTTGTTAAGTTACATCAAACCCTAAAAACAAAATCTTCATGCTATAGAACTGAGTAGATTATATTTTGGTAAGAATGTACTAGTAAAATAATAACCCTTTCAATGTAGCCTGTTAGTTTAGTAACACTAATGATAGAGTTATAATATACATGCCACTGCCAAAAATAATCCAACAATTTTTCCAACTGTTCTGCCACCCTAAGAAAACACTGCTCAATTCCAACTGGCTGGTTATTTAACCACAAGAAAAAGTTTCATTTCAGCAGTTTTTTTCAAAGTTCTTTTACTCCATGCTTCCCGGATTCACCATCATGGCTGAATCCAGTAAATGATGCAGTGTCATTCAAATGATGCTGAAGACAGCACCTATCCACGTTTCCATTGTATATCCAATTCTCAGAGATTAATCTCATGTTAGATATACTGAAGCAAAACTTTCTTCAGAACTTGTCAGTTTAGATGTCTTTTTTCTAATTTTAAAGCTAGTTTAAGCCACTGCAACAAACATTTTACATGGAATTGCAAAATATACGTTTTCCTTCTTTCGGGATCTTCTCTTACTCATGCACTAGTTAAAGAAATAGCACGTTATAAATGTCAAGTATCAGAGGGGTAGCTGTGTTAGTCTGGATCTGTAAAAAGCAACAGAGGGTCCTGTGGCACCTTTAAGACTAACAGATGTATTGGAGCATAAACATTCGTGGGTGAATGCCCACTTCGTCAGACACGTGTCTGGGCATTCACCCACGAAAGCTTATGCTCCAATACATCTGTTAGTCTTAAAGGTGCCACAGGACCCTCTGTTGCATGTTATAAATGTATAAAACACTATTCACATGAGTTTCTACAGAGAAACAAAACACTTTACTACTTAAAAAATAAAACAAAACAAAACAAAAAAACCTCAGACAAATGGTTACTGGAAAAGGCATCAACCTAGATTTAAATAACCTTCTCTTTTCTTTTGTATCACGTGTTAAGTCCTGGCTGCCCACCCTACAATAAAGGCACACTAGAAAAAAGCAGAACAACATGTAATTAACAGTTTGCTAACAAGTATCGGGTTCTAGAAATGATGACCCATATTAAAGAACACAGAAGGAGACTCTCTTTTCACCTGGGAGATCGTAAGCAATGTAAGCAGGCAAAGCAAAACCTAACCTACAACACATAGATTCATAGATTCTAGGACTGGAAGGGACCTCGAGAGGTCATCGAGTCCAGTCCCCTGCCCGCATGGGAAACAAAGGAACTCAGCTCCGTTTTTCTTCTACTAATAGACATCTTACCGCACATGCTTCAGGATCTGCTTATGAAAATAAAAAAGAACAAAAGGACACATTGCCCGGATGGAGGTTATTCAATACTCGAAATATATGAAATGGCCCCTGTGCCTCCTCCAAGATGAATACCAGTGGTTAACATTATTGCCAAAATCTTTTCTTTTCCTTGTTATGCTAAAAATACAAAAATCCTGTATCCATTGATTTCAATACATGTCTAGGAAATTGTTGTGTAGGATTATTCTATATAATCTGAAGAATCAGTAGACAGCCTTTAAGCACATGCACACACACACAAAAGGGGTGGAAGTTCTTGCAGGAATGTATGGAATTAACACCAATATCTGTGAAAATTGCAACTAAATATTGGCAGCTCTGACTTTTGCTAGAAATACAAGAAATAAATACATAAAAAAGGAAGTTTATCTTTCGTTCGATCTATAGTAAGTCAAACCCTTTCTGAAAACGACAAACCTTTTTCCAATGCCATTACAATGAGGAAACAATAGCTACTCATGCAACATTAAAAGAATTCTAGTTCATGGTTATAGAGATCCATTACTCTACTAACGCAAAATACAGCACTGCAAGTTCAATACTATCTACCTCTTCTTCCTAGGAAATCCAGAGTGCACCAACACTCCAATAATATTCATATTTGATTTAAACCCACTAAAAGAGAAAATTTGGAGTTTTATTTGTCACAAGCCCAGCCCTTTGGTACCATTGTTTCCTGGCACACTGAATGATTTCACAAATATAAAATCTTGACTCAGGGCACCAGTGATACCTCAGCCTTCCTGTGGAATGACAGGCAATACATACTTGGGTCTCCTGTGGCTAAGCTGGGAGCTAGAGGAGCTTTGTCACCTTCAAATCAGAATTCCCCTTCCTAGAATTTCCTTTTTTGTGTTTATCAGAATCCTAATGTTGTATTTCATAGTATTTTTCTGTATAATTTTAACCGACAGACATTATAAACTCAGCTTTTATCACAAAATTATATTATATATGCTTGATGGTAACTGCCAAAACATCGACCAAGCGGTTGGATATAATGAAGGCTGGATTTCATGGGTATTTTTAAGCTTATGTTTAAAGTGGATTCATCTAGCTCTTTCATTAACTCAGTAGCAAAGGTCAGAGGAGATGAAAACCTGGGATCCTAAATTTACTTGATACACATATAATTATGTTTCAAAAAGTTCACAGTCTTCTAGTGTTTCTTATTTCTGGTTCCATTTGACCATGACATCATGAACAAAGGACAACTTTCCACCAGGGAAATTCACTCTGGGGCTAACAAGCGCTCCACAGTACTCATCTCTCCCAAGGGACTTGAATCATTTTGAGTAAGAGAATCCCTGGGATTAAGAGCAGATTCTTTTTTCCCACACCTATAGAATGAAGGAAACCAGCCGCTTTCTCCTTCACCACTAACCTAGTGCAATTTAGCTATTTTAGACTCAAAGGAACGTGAATTCCAGCAATTCAATTCCCAGCAGAAATTGCAGTCTCTCTCTACAGATTGCCTTGTTTCAATTATATAGAGCTCAGTCACCCACTTTTTTGAAAGCAAGAACAATCTGCCCGTTCTTTAATACACATCACCCCAAAACGAGCCTTATTGTGAGGCCAGGGGAAGTTATTTGATGTCAATTCCAAAACTGCTGGAAGTTTTAGCTGCTACTTTGTACAACATGTTCCCCTTCTGTATTAATCTACAGTCACCCAGCAGTTTAGTAACCATCGTCTGTAATCATTAGATTATAAATGTTACACTCCAATCTCTCTTACTGAATCAGTTAGTGCCTTAATGTGCATCACTTTCCCAGCTGCTCTCCCAATTGTCGAAATCCAATTTATTAACTGATAAATGAAATGTATCAGCTAAATAACGTTGTGCTGCATGCTTGAAAAATATTCAAAGTCAATAAATGTGTTAACCCTGAGTGTGCAAAAGCAGGATTGTGATAGCATTTCCCATTTATTACAAGATATCTGGACACAGATTCTTATCGATAATGTCTATAAACAAGCCTCTCCTGTCCTGAACAAGAAACTACAGGAGCAGAAGACATGCCTTCAGAGCCAAACACGTTCAAATACAAATCACAGTCCAGTTAGCTTTTGCAGAACTGTCTATGTGATTTTACTGTTGATAGCAATTAATTCTTGCTAAAACATGAATTCTGACCAAAAAACCCCTTCCATTAGACTGTTAGAGACTAAAATGTGCTGTAAGTATTAACAGCTCATAATTCCCATCATGTCTGGTTGGAATGTATTCTTGCTACACGGATTTTCCTTAAAGATTGCCATATTCCATTTTTCCTTTGAGGTTTCACCCCTTAAGTTATGCAGCTCTGTAAAGAAGGTGATTTCATTGCTTTGTCATAGCCCATAATGCAAGACATGAAAGATCAGGAAAATATATAAAAACCTGGTTGTGCAATCGGTAATTAAAGCCATACTCCTATGTTACATTTTCTTCAGTGTGAACTGAAAACTAAGATGCAAACCTTGAGTTTATACAAGGACACCTATGAAAAACTCACATAATTGGTGGCCTGGTACTAAACTGGTGGGAGCAATACCTGTGCGAAAGCAGACGGTTGCTGTTTGAACTGAAGGAGGAGATTCTCCCAAAAGTTCTGCAGAACCTTCTGACTTGCTGTCCATAAATGCCCCAGTGATTCTCTTCTGCTTCTAATTAGACCAGTTTCCACCCTGAGTCTTCAGTTCACACTATTTTGTGAATGGAGATTACATATATTTTTTTGCTCAACTGAAAG